ATGCACCTTATCAATTTATCACAGACTTCTTAGTGTCATATGTGGACAGGTATTTTGTAATTAGATGTATGCCTTATTATATAACGTTATGTTAGTAGTGTCTACCCACTGGATAGAAACTCCCACGTAAACACACACGTTGATAATTATTATCAACTTCGAAAACGTGATCTGAATACGAACTCTGTGATTTTCGATTCTGATGCACTCTTATGAACTCCACATTTTCACCTCAGAGAAAAATATCTGTGCGCATGAATGGAGTTCAGTCATGTGTGAATGTATGTAAGTGTGTGTGTGTTGTGAATGCGTGTGTATAATTTACTGTACTGCATGTATGTAATATAATCCATTGAAACTATGGAACAAACCTTCGCGTAGGTGAACACACAATCACGGGCGCGTAGATGTGGCAGTGTGGTTAGCTGGTTGTGTGTCAGGGTCACAACCACTATCTGCACTGCTCCCTCTCCGCGACCCCCTGCCGGCGCCCCTGCTCCTCCCCCAACCCACACCCAACACACATGGGTCGCTGGATCGCCTCATCCGGGAAGCATCGCACAAGACCAGATGCACCGACGCTTGGTACGCCTCGACCGGACTCCTTTTGCCCATGGCTTCTCTCTTAATAACAGTTGCTCTACATGCAGGCTTGTGTGTAGAGGATGTAGTAACTTTATTCGCATTTGAGACCCATTCCTTTTTTCGCAACAGCATTGTCTTTTATTCCCGGGTTTTGTTATATTTAAGGAAGATGGAATACGTGTATATTCTTTATCGTGGTTTGAGGTCTATTGCTTGGATTTTATTAGATATTAAATTAATAGTTTGCGTAGGTAGGCAGGGATGAGTCAGGCATCAGTGGGATTTTGTTTTTGGTGTATTTTGAAAGGTTATATATTGGGCAAATTACTTACTAAAGATTTTAGTAGATGAGTTTTTGAGACTACAGAAAAAAAATGGTTTATCTTTAAGAATATCTTTTAAGAATTTGTTATAAGATATTATTTAAATGTGAAAATTCCATTTGCTTCTGTGGCCGTGTAATTATTTTCCAGTTGTACATACATGTATATTATCAGTTTTGAATTCTATCACTCGATACATGTTATTTCACATATTCCTCATATATTCTCCTAATTTCTTTTTTATTTTAATTCTTTTTGACCTTCGTGTTTGTTATTAAAATGACCAACCCAAAAATTAACGACTCTTACTCTTTAATTAAAGACATTACATCAATCCTCCTCTTCTGATCTCATGTTCCTACGTTTCAGGTCGGCGTACGTCTCATACGGTGGCCTGCTGATGCGCCTTCAGGGGGATGCCAACAACCTTCACGGCTTTGAGGTGGACAAACACATCTATCTGCTCATGAAGAAGCTGGCTTATTAGATCACCTGGTGATATCACGCTCAGGAATAAGTCTCGTGTTTTTCTTTGGTATATATTTTGTTTCTTAGGTCTTGATTTTATTTTCAAATCTTTCATGATAGTGATATTTAGGTTTTAAAAGGAATGTCAGCCAGATGCTTTGCAAAGATTAGTTCTTATTCTTTTTCCTTAACCATGGTCAGTTCAATTATGTGATGTAAGAAATGATAGGTTGACAAACAAATCATGTACAAGTTTTGTAATAAAGGTTTTTCAGATAAGTGGTGGCTGTCCTTTATAACCCTTGACTGTACTTTTGCATTTATTTTGTTCCTAAAGAAAAACTAAAAAAGTAGAAAATGTCAGCCTCACCACATCCTACAATACTGCCCACTAAAGATCTGAAATTATATTAAATCCTAAAAGAATGACATCATCTGGCCAAACTGTTACATTAATTGACTAGTGTTTTCGGTAAATTTTTTCTTGGCTCATGAGTGGCAACAATCTGAAACAGTGCCATCTTTAGCAGTTACCAAGAAATACTTTGTTTCAAACTGCTAAATTAATGGTGAGGTCACATTAAGACTTAAAGTTCACTGATTATACACGTTAGAATGTTCTCTTTATTATTTGAGGCTTTCATGAAAATGTAAGACTTGTCACACAGTAGGCACAATAAAATGACAAAAAATGTAAGGGAAAAAAAACAGCATTGAGATTAACAGATTTATTATTTGCTAGTTTTCTTAAATCTGTGTTAATCACCTATTATAGGTTGTGAATATAATAAAATCATATAAATAAAAGGGAAATTATTCCATTATTTGAATATTCAGTAAAGTAACATCTAAAAATAAGATATATACTAAAAACTAATTCTCATTTTCTCATCAATTAAGCCTAACGGAGAAAAAAATCTGAAACAGACAAACAAAATTCCCATCTGCAGAAAATTTTGTCTATCCTAAGTCCTTATCACAAAGGCAAATTCATGCATGGTATGGTATGCAGGCCTTGGATACAAAAAACAACAACACAGAAACTGAATTCAAGAGTCAAAGTATGAACTCGCAATACAAAATCCCTGAAACATTTTGGTCGTGAATTTTTTATTCCTTGTACCTGTGGCTGTTTACCTAACACTAAAATGGAATATCATAGCACCACTACTAGAATAATGTATTGGTTATAATATATAAATATATTTTAGCACATATACCAGTATGTAATTTAATTTGTTTATATATATGGCTGTGTGTAAGAGAGAGCTTGTGTATATGTGCCTGTGTATGTTTAAAGCATGGGTAATTTGCATATTATGCATGAACAATACATGTATTTTGCGTCTGATGAACTAATGCATCAGTTATGACTCCCTTAAATGCTAGTATCAGGTCATTTAAGAAAGGAATCAATAAAATGAAAGTTAATGATATCTAGAATCATCCTAGAAATATCTAAAAATCGAAAAATAGAAAGAGACAGCTATAGAAATACAAAACAAGACTAGTGTGATATAAAGAAAACAGATAGAAAGAAGACAGTATTTAGAAGATAATGCATAACTGTCCACTTTTACAATGGATAGTTAAATTGTCACATACTGCCACTACTTGCCCACCTGCAGTACAAAAAGACTTTCCCAAAAACACTCTTCTAACTCATGTTTACCAGAACTTTCATTCCTATGTACAAAATCTTACAACTCATGCTTTCCTGGTGTTTGCGGGACCTGTCTTCGAGTATATTCACTTCTTTTTTGAGTAGAACTTGGTATTGAGGAGGTGGAGTAGGAGGTTCACATTAACTTTTACTTTGGAGAACATCTTCTTGACTGTAACGCCTTCATACTGAAGCTGTAGTAACTCCTGGAAAGAGATCAGATTGTCGTTTTGATTCATTGTCTTTTTTTTAGTATGATATCACTCTCTACAAGTTCTCTACTTTCAATTGATTTTATTTTATTTAAATATACCAGTAAATATTTTATGAAACAAAACTGAAAATGGAATGGCAAGCTCGTCAATCTTATCAACTTTGGTTCACTTAAAATCAAAATTATCTTGATTCAAATTACTAATATCTGCCTCTCATCACTCTTGAACTGCCCTTAATTCAGAACTCTTACTTCACTTCCTGAAAGAGGAGTATTTAACTCAACACAATAAATGCCATCAGAACTGTACCTGAATATCAATTTCAACAAACTCCATTGGCACCCCCATGAACTTGACCTGAACATGGAAAATACCAGTGGTAGCCAGAGGAGTGATTTCAAATAGCACATTCTTCCTCTGTGTCTCAGGCAGGTCTTCCACCTCCAGCAGTACACCTTTCTCCATGAGTTTGGTAGCCGGGTACTTTATGGTCTGCTTTGAACGTGTCTTCTCACCATTTTGCTTGCTTGAGGCCTGGTGCACATTCCTTGGAAAAAGCGATTCGGGAAATGCAAATAATTTGGGGGTTGATATTTTTTTCACTACTGTTCAGTCTAATCTAATACAGACAACAAAAAAAAAAATATCTGGTTTAGTCTCTATTGCTACAATTAATAACTTGTGAATAAAGTGATACAAATTTTAAGCATAATTAAAAATGCCTCTAGATTAATACACATGCCATATGTACAACCTGACCTACAGGAAATATAAATCAAGTAATTTCTTCACAAATTTTCAAAAGAACAGATTGCAATTGATAATACACACATTTACTAGATCCTTTGTCAAACTTTACCCATGCCATAATTACAGCATGGCCCAAGCACATCACAATATAACACAAACTTACTTATTCTGGCTGCAATATTGGCAAGGCAGGTACTGAGGTAGGTGTGGTATGAATCCAGCTGATCCCGGTAGAACTTTTCTTTCTCCTCTAACTGTTTAGCTGTCACTAGTAGTCTCTGCAACTCCTATATGCCAAGAAATATTCATATAAAAATATGAAAAATAAAAAGAGGGTATGAAAAAAGGGAGTAGGAGTAAATTCTTTTGACTGAGTTATCCAACAGTTACTAATTAGGTGAGCATCATGTGACATTGAATATTATTCTTAAAAACAACCATAACCATACGTTTCAGCCATAATGACGGCTAGTGAAATTCATAATTTACCTGTCTGGAACTGAAAAATATACACTATTTTGCATATCAAAAACACTAAAACAAGCAGCATCCTCACATTCTTCGAGATATTCTGTGTTGCCGCTGATTAACAATGTCACTGGCAATTGCATTCAAGAGGGTCTGGTAATTGTCTGACGACTAGTCAGGCCCTGATTTTCTAGCCTGCGCAGGTTGTGGGTCAGACGGGTTTTAACCTCGTGCAAGCTCACCCTGGAAATTTGTCATGGTAAACAGACTTGTTAGCAAAACTATTATTCCCAGCTACATCTGAACCTTGGAAGAAGAAAGTCAGAAATTATGGAGGATAGTAAACATTCAGATAAAAGTTATTCCCAAAAGAGGGAATGATGGGTGATTAGACATTAAATATCAAGGTTAATATTCACATCCATACTAGTTGTCTAAAGTTGTAACCCAATAATACGGGAATAACAAAGCAATTGGCAGTCTAATTGTGGTATGCAGCTGCAATTGCAATAGTATTCATTTTCAGTCTTTCCTTGAGTTCATATATGCTTTTTTATTCTATTAGAAATTATCATGTAAACATTTAGTACTCCTTAACCCACTGGATCCAGATACTTCCCTGCCATCACTTACAGGCTGTGTATTGTGTTTTCTGAAAATAGTCTTACATAAGGGGCCAAGATGGGTGTGTGGCTTGTAAGCTGGGTGCACATGAACACTTTTTTTGCTTTTTACTATTTTCTAATGTCTATATTTTTCATTTGATTTGCTTTATCCAGAAAGTAAGACTGTTTTCCTTGCACAGATTTCATATCATCTCTATTGGTAGTCCATAACTCAGTGCAATAGTAATAGCAATAAGTAACATTTTATTTTTATCATTTTTAAATATTTCATAAAAAGATTATAAAAAAAAAAAAAAAAAAAAAAAAAAAAAAAAAGTTAAATAAATATTTGATACACTGCAACTGAGAGAATTCATCTGTAAAATAAAACACCAGCTGGAAGCTTAACCACTTTCACCTCACTTCATGATTCATAATCCAGAGGGTGTTGGTAACCTACTATGAAGGGGAAATAGAATTTCTAAATATAGATATCAATCACTCTGGACCTATACTCAACCTTACCCAATACTCTGAATTTAAGTGGAAGATACCCACAATACCCAAGACAAAAAATTAAGTAATTAGAAAGAAAATGTGGTCAATGCAAAACCTCCAAACAGGTATCATTAAACCCAGGCTAACCGTAAGCCCTACCTGGTCTCAGCAAGGAAGGAGTTGGAGCGGTTGAGTGCCGTGTGGTTGAGCTTGGGCTTGGTGCTCTTGCCGGGTGCGTGTGTGGATGATGGAGCGGTACCTTTCCTCTTGTGGTGACAGAGTTGGTCCCGTCACCAGCTGCCCAATGGAACTTCCTTCCACACACCGAAGCACATCTACCAAGAGCTGCTTTGTCCTGTTGAGGAGAGCAATAAAGAACGTCACACAAGTTATCGTGTCTCTTCTATGTTTACAATATTCAGCTACCTTTCCTAATGTTTACCTTTCTCCTTATCTATCTATTTACCTAATATCTATTTGCACATATAAATAGATATCTATGCCTTCAACCTTTTCTTCTATTCTTAGAGTAAATGTGACGCTTACCTGCTGAACATTTTGTTGGAATCCTTCGAGTCCTTTTCTTCTGCCGTTTCTGTCACATCAAAACTTGTTGATGAGTGCCAGACACACTTTCCATCCTGCCTACTGTCCGGAGCATGATTCTGGGTACAAGGATATTTTTATTAATAACAGTAAATCATACTATATCTATCACATACATTTTGTTTTGTTCAGCTGTTTAATTCTTATTCAACTCTTCTGTCCCCTTTCTACATTATTCATCTATTTCTCCCGCTATTTCTTTTCCTGCCACCTACCTAGAGCCTCTCCCACGAGGGCATGGACTGGAGGGGTCTCTCCCCAAGGTCAGAGAGTAGGACATGGAGAGGGTCGTTGCTGTCTGGGGCAAGGATCTCCTCATGGTCCAGCAGGAGTTGGTGGGTCTCACAGATTTCCTGTAAATGATACGCTCATCAGGACCTAGAGGTTGTTGAGGATTTTGTTTGTCGAGATGCATAAATTTCCTTATTGTGCAAATGAAAAACTGTTTATTCCTGTGACAAGTGAAAGTTATCATATATAAATACTTTCTTTTGATATTTAAAGGATGCTGTTCCTAAAATGCTTCCATTATTTATCAGCAATCATGTTATAATGAGTGTAGTGGTGTTCTTTTCTCATGCTATTAAATATAAAACACGCTTAACCTTATGCTAGACACAAACAACTGTAGGCATTCCCCATCACCTTCAAAAACTATCTTAGTCTGCCTAAAATCTAACATACACGAAAACACACACCTGGATTGTGATGTAGATGGTGGGTTTGACAATAAGCGTTGGCCTCGGAGTATTGGGTGACGTTGTACACAGTCTCTGGTTCCTCTACCTCACAGCAGTGACGGAAGAAGTTCTTGAATTTCTCATGGCACTCGATTATGAAGGGTTCAGGCACTTCAGGTGTGATTGCCTCGTCGCCAAATCCTGGCAAGAGAAAGAAGAAAGTTATCAAAACAGAAAAGAACAATAACAGAGCATGAAATCAAGAGAATCTGTAATACCATTAAAAGCTACAGCCAAAAGAGAATGTAAAAAAAAATAAATAAATAAATAAAACTAAAAATAACTATAACTAAACTGAATAACAAACATTTAATCCAAGTAGCCAGTATGAGATCAAGTAAAAGAACCAAAATTAGACAAAATAGAACAAAAAAATGGTACAGAAAAAAAAAAAAAAATACCTCAGCACCAAAAATACTTCCTTTATCAACTCCTTGTTCTAAACGGTGCACACACTGCCATCTATGACAAACCTTTCTTAGATGCAGCAAACTGCAGGATCTTGGCTATGCTGGCCAGATTTCTGCGTTGATTATTGTTCAGCTTTTGGTCAGGTGAAACTGTTACTATATCAAAAGCATCTGGAGCTACAATGGCCGAGTTGATGTATCTGTAGTAGACAAGGTTTCCTACAACCTGCATAGGATATATGTTTATAATTAGTTCAATCAATCTTTTATATTAATTAACTACATATCATGATAATAAAATCAATCAATCTTTTATATCAATTCACTACATATCATGAAAACACCTCAAACTAATATAAGAGATTTTAGTACCCCTATCAATACATAAAACTTTAATGCACTGGAAGTTCTTTCCAAGTCTCAACACATTTAAAAAGAGGTCTATACACGACCTTCAAGATCTCTTTCTCGGGTATGTGAGGAAAACGCCTCTGAAGAGCCTGTCTCATGACCTTTGCCATGTAGAGCATGGCATAAGGTATAACATCTCTGTTTGTTGTGATCTGGTCGCAGAAGGCTAGAGTAACCTCCTTCAGCGTGGTGATGGCCTGTGCCAGCCTCTTCTGAACTTCTGGGTACTGAAGAGCCTGATCCTGGTTGACAGTATATGGCAATCCACTGCAACAACAAGAAAACCATTCCATTTTTCTCATGCATATTCTTAAAAATCAATGATGGTATAACTAATCTCTTTGATTTAGCTTTAACAACATTACTGAGCATAACACACTAAAGTGAGCACACAACATTATCTAAATCATCATTGAGCCTACAACTGTTTTTTCAAATTTTGTAATGCATATGCCTGTAAGCCTGCCTGTCTCTATGACTTAGCTTAACTGTCATTCTTTGCTTTATAAAATTCATTGTACACAAACTGCACTGCCAATAAACAATGGAATTGATAAGAATTTAGAGATATACAAAGAACCAGTTAGAACTCCATCAAGACCTGTAACCTCCAAATCCCAAGTACTCTCCTTCCTACCTGGCCTGTCCAGAATGCATCTCAAGCTGATTGATCCAGCTCTTATAGATATCCACAGGATTGGTGTTGATCTGCATCCCACTATCACCCAGAATCTGCATATATACACACAAGTATTATCATCTAGAATATTCATTTTCAAGTGCACTAAATTGGCAATTTTTGTGTCATACATAAAATAAACACATTGCTCTCACCAAATATAATATCATATTTCAATCATTAACATAAAACATCCCCAGGAAAGTAATTATTTCACCATTACAAATAATCAAATATTACTGATCCTTTACCCTGTGGATGAGCGGGCCAAGCATGTCCCGAAGTGAAGCTTGTCCTGCACCTTTCCTGTTAAATGACACTATCATCTTCACTACTAATGGGTTTCCTGAGACAATGTCACTTAGACGAAGAACTTTGCATCTGTAAAAGAAAAACAAAAATATTTCCACTTTTCTCTCTTTATGTCTCTCACTATCATAATTAAACATTCACAAACCAGTTAAAATATAAAAGAGATGGCACCCAAAGCAGTCCTAAATATAATAAAAAACTAATAATCAACCTTATTTCCTCCTCCAATGCAGTCTTGAAAAGTTTTAGGAGCAAGAAGTTGTCACGGTCATTGGCTCCGTAGTTGTAGAGGGTGAAAATCACATTTTCTATGAACTTTGTGGTCTTGCCGGGAGGAATTGCGAAAATGAGGGTAGCCAAGTAGTGCGGCTGAGTCTGGAGAAGGTAGAAGAGGTGCTGGTAGGATAGCAGCTTCTCCCTTGACTCCTTCTTGAAGGCCTGTTAATAATAATAGGATTACCTAGAAGATTTGTGAATCCTTGTGATATAAAAATAGAAATATACACATCTCATACATAAGCAAATAAAGACCTAAAAACAATTGCCATTATAGTTATTGGTACCTTAAGACCTCGCTGTGTTCTCATAGAGCCATACTTCAGGGTATCTTTAGAGCCTTTCCTGCTCCTCCTTGTTTTAGTTTCTGGCACATTTGGGTTCACATTCTCCTTGTCAGCTGGAAGCACATCCTGAAAAATACATCCAACTGGATTACAGATTGTCATAACATTGTTAAAAAAAAAATAGAACAGCTTATCAAGTAACTTAAAAAAAAAGTATAATAATAAAAATAAAAATAATAATAATAATAATAATAATAATAATAATAATAACAAATACATAAATGAATAAAAAATGAATAAAATATTAAATTATAAAGCAAAACCTATATTTTGAAAGTTTATGAAATGCACCAGTTCCATCTCTATACAAAAAGAACACAGCTAAATGCCATAGATATCCCTTCCATATATCACCAAACATCCTGAGACCTATAAGTATCACTTCTAAACTTTTGCCCAAAGGCTTAAACAACTAATCCACTTTGGCATTGCTGAACCATGTGATACCTTCGACTTTGGGCGGTTCAACTGGTCATGTACGCTCAAGTCTGGCCGTAAGCATGGCTATCTGGGACAAATCGATCACTTTGATGCAAAATCTGGGGGCTGAGGGGAGCCAATGTTAATGCAATGAGAGCATCTTTATCCTTGGGTTACTCCGGGCTTTCCAGGGCAATGTCTAAAATTCACTTAAGGAAATTATAGTATCAATAAAGTCAACAAAATTTTATATAAAACATTATGAATTAATTATCACAAAATTTGAAATGCGAAACGGAATAAGTTCTTGTGCTCTATGTTGCTCAAGTGAGAAGTACTATGGGCGGTGTAATTCAAGCAAGAGGCATGTGGAGTCTATTACGTTGGTGCTTTTAGCAGTTGAAACAATAAAACACTAGAAGTCAGGTCCTAGACGAAGATAAGGCCAGTTGAACCACCCCTTTAATGTACAACAGCCTTACCTGCAACGTAATGCGGTTGTGAACAAGGAGTCCGATCTTCACATCCAGCTCATCCACCTGTGTCTCCAGCTGATGGGTGTGTCTTATTGTCTTTACCATGTCGCTCTTTGTACGCTGTAAATACACAAATTATAATCACTAAGAATCATTAGAAGTAAAGCATTAGTTATTTTGTATGGCAAGTCAAGACATTTACACAATTTAACAAACCCATTCTGGATAGCAAGTGACATGGAAACCCAAAACTTGGGTATGAAAGAACAGTAACAAACAAATGTTTCCTTCCACTGAACTGATCATTATATCATATATACAATATTACCTAAATTAGGTAATCCAAACTAAAATATGAAGCCCTTAAAAATACTACTAATAAAAAATCGAACTACAATCTTACAAAAGAACAGGAACTATACAATAGTCAAGTCTTTCCCTATTGTTTCTATACTTCTTTCAGTTACCTGCAGTTTGAACTCTTCATCCAAGTCCTTCTCAGACACATCCAACAGATGGATGAATTTGCAGATGACAGATAGTGGTGGGTTGGCTTGGTGGGTGAGGGAGCGGAGATCCACTCTAGCCTTGTGTGCTCGCCATGCTCTTTGGATCACTACTACCTGCCTCTCCTATGGATATAAAAAAACATGAAATCTAATTATTACAAATCTTTGAATAATTACAAACCAATAACAGAACTTACTACTCCATAAAGAGCTTTATAAAGTTATGAATTGTTGCAACAATAGAGGAACCATTAAAAAGGTACAAACATGTTCATTGAAGTGTTGAGACAGCTTATTTATCCTCCTTCTGTGAAGCCAACTCCGCACTGCTCTCTGAATAACGATGACATACGGCTCTGACATCCTCAGGGCTTGGCAGTACATGACGTACATTTTCCGGGCTCTTACCATACGCCACAAGCCTAAAGGAGAAATTACATGACTTACATACATTGATGCTTATTACCAATCATAACATATATGTGAAAACAAAAATATAACTTGACTACAGGATCTGGGTGATATGGATGTTCTCATGATTGAAATATTGACCAAGGGGCTGTGAAAGGAATATCTTATCATGGAAATATTTGGCTGAGGGCTGGGATGTCTTGCTATGGTAAATAGTTGCCAAGCAGGGTGTGATGGGGACCATAAATGCATAAAGCTTTTGGAGGATTAACCAGTTGGATCCGGTTGTGTTGTGGAAATAACTGTGCAGAAAATATGGCCAGTGGGTTACGCAAGTAGCCAACATCCCAGGCATGCAGCACGTAGGCCAGGCACCCACGAACACCCATGAACGATAACAAGACTTCGTGCCTCTCCTTTTGCGTAAACTTGTTGTTTTTTTTTTTTTTTTTGCCATATTCCAATGTCCATATTTGGCCATTGGTGGCCAGGAATACAATGCACAGCATGGAAATGGTGTCCTTCCTGGAGCCGGTGCTATTCCAGTCACTGCTTAAGCACATTACATTCCACATTCGTCAAATGCAAAAGCCCCTTCTCAGCACCAAATGAGTCAAATCACACTCCAAGAGGTTTGTGCACTCATGGCAAACCTTTTCTGTCACCTGGGCCTTTGCTCATGACAGCAAGTTCACGTCAACCAGCACACAGCCATTTTGTCCAATGACAGCATGTTCACATCACCCAGTCCTCAGGTGATGTGATGAGATGTGATTTTTCCATGGCAGGAGAATATCATCATCCGGATCATAGGGGTTAAGGAAGGAGCTCCTGAGACATTTCTACCAGCCTGCAAGTCATCCCTGGGATAGCGCTGGCTCCAAGGAGAAAACTATGTCCATGGGCAGGAAACTATTCTTGCTAGTCATTACCTGCAGTGCAGGATATTTTATGGAAAATTGAGTACTAATTAAAATAACTAGCACAATGATAGACATCAGAAAATGGCAATACAGCCAAAGCATTTTCCAACATACGGGGTAATAGCATTACTAAGAGGAAGCAAGGAGTCTTCATACTGCACAAATGTTCTTGTGTGTCAGGTCTACATGCCACACACCCAGGAGAGTCCTCACTCAAGTACTCCTAGTGGCCGGATTTTACCAAAGCAAGGCACCCAATCCAACAGATTAAATAATATGAGCAGCAGAGAACTGACAAAACAAACCTGTATTGCTAAGGCTGCAGCTTTTAATCTGCTTATTCTCTGGCGCTGCAACCAGCCACGTGCTCTGGCCTGCAGTCGCACCATTAATTGGTCCAACTGAAAGAATTTGAATAATGAATAATTGTTTTTTTTTTCAAAAGATGGTGAGATTAAGGATACATATAAATATATGAATAATACTAGAGAATATCCTATTAATGTTTTCTTTTATAAGATACAGTCTTATGACTGCATCTTATAAAAGTTTCCTTTTTGCTTTTTTCATACACAAAGAAAGACACAGAATATACATTCAGTCAATAAGCACTTCTAGTAAAACATTTCTTTTAAAAACTAAATCAATCATTCTTAGCTCTTCCAAAAAGTCATCAAACTTTTTCCATATCTGTCTCATCTATCTACAAAAAATCAGTCATTCATCAATCAATCAATCATCAATAAACTGTCCCCACAACAAGGAAATCTAACCCTTTTGTTGTTGGCTTCCTGCTGCATGATGACCATTACAGCATCTTCCAGGTCGACCAAAGTCAGGTAGCGGCTCTGGTGGGCCATCACCACTTCCTCTGGCTTCTCCCACTGGTATCCTCCATTCGCGAGATTCAAATATACCTTGAAGACATGAACTGTGAGTGGCACTGGAAGGAACTTCAATACAAATGTTCTTTGGTATGATAACGATAGATACAGTAATGTGCTGTCAATTGGCTTCCAGTAATTTCAATAACTTTTATATATCTAATGGCTATACTTCTTCCCTTCACTGGAAACAATATTCTTTGAAATTTATCACAGCATCACATCTAATGAAGCACAAAAAAGTGCAATGACAGCACTGATTTATAATGGTAAGACCCATCCCTCTTATCAAAGTTAAAAGTTTATTCGTACATGTGAAAAAGCAGGAAAGTGAAGTAAGTGAAAAGTGACAAGGAAAAATGACATTCATTATAACGACCTTAAGAAATACAGACCTTAGACCCATCAGTGAGGGAGTAGGGGATCCATGGACATGTCACGGTGGAACTCTCCTTTTCTCTGTATGATTTCTTGAGCATTGTCAGTACTCCTAAGAGGTGGCTCTTTTGAATGCGAAGGTGTGCTAAATCTGGAGACCTGGAAAAAAGAAGTTACATAATTAGTTCTTCCCAAATCTCAATAACAATTTTCACTCAATTTTCCTTAACAAAGAATTTGTACTGCTCCATTGAACCCGCAGCAATTTTCCCTTGGATGTGCAGTATTAAAGACGGACAAGGTCAGAAAATAGCTAACCTGAGTATGTCTACAATGGCCGAGTCATTCCCATCCACCATGGCAGAGTTGATCCCAGCTAGCACACTGGCGGTGTTGGAGGACTCCTTCGAATGCCTTTTTACCGCATTCACTACTCTACTATGTCCTCTATCCACAGCTCTGCAGCACTGTCACCAAGCATTTCGCATTTTGTAGTCTTTAGCAACTGAAAATCAAAAAAGAAAAATCAGGTGCTGGTTTTGACATCGTGTGAAGGTGCGGGTTATCTTTTAACATGCCAGTAAAACAAGAACATAAAGACAAAACCAATGAACTAAACAAACATCAGAATACCACCATACCTTGAGGAGCTGGTAATAGTGGAGAGAATCTGTGGGTGAAAGAGAGGGCAGCTGGAGGGCTGGGTGTTGGAGGGCGATCATGGTATCTTGGACTCCACCCGCAATGACTGCCTCATTCACACCTGTCAAGGCTCCCACCTCTTTGGATGATGATGATCTATTTTTAGCACACTAAATATGATGGGGTAATAATATAACATATTGGCAAGACACTTTTACAATAAGCCCTAACAAACATGGTTCTAAAACATTTTCAATTATATGCCACATATCCCAAGAAAACAAATTAAGAGTATTTTGTTTCAGAACTCACTGTCATTAACTTCTTGCAACCTGTCATTGACTTCATCTATAACTTGCTGGAGGTCAAGGTAGGTCAACAGGGTACAAACTTCCCCTGATGCTATCTTTGCCTGGCGCGCCTCATGTAGGGATGAGAAATACTCCCGGGCATGACCGCGTTCCAAACCCTGAGAGTAAAATTGATAATTAGGGAAGGCATTAAACAAGGGCAGTCTCAAGGTTATCAGGAGGGATGCAAAAACTGGGCAAGTCTCAAGGTTATCAGGAGGGATGCAAAAACTGGGAAAAAACATCATGGGCCACTGTGTTGGCTAATCACAATTTTTTTTTGGTGGGGGGAGGGGGGGGATGAGTGTCAATAGTTGGGAAACTCTGTCTAAAGGGAAATAAGGTATGCAATGCACCAATATTTTATTTAACTTAAAGATATTAATGCCTTTATATCAAAAGCAAACACTATTTTATTGACAAAATGCAAATAGCATTCCTACAAAAGGAATCTTTATCAAAAATGGGTCTATTTTCTCTTCATTACAAATAAAACTTGTAGATAGTAGCTAAAAGATACCTAGTTTTTAAGCATTCAGGCCCCCCCAAAAAAAAAAAAAAAAAAAAAAAAAAAAAAAAAAAAAAAAAAAAGATTTCAGATCTATAACACTAACCTGTACATGTGTCTGTGGGTCGGAAAGGTAATGCCAGACCTCTTCAGGGTTGTGGGTGTCCAGGGCAGCATTAACCCTTGCAACAGCTGACAGCATGCGGACACCTCCTTGGATTTCTTCCAGGTTCAAATCCGCCTGAAATCCCAAGGTACCATAAGTACATTGCTATGCAATTCTACCAGCAATACTCAAGTGCTTCAGAATTATAGGTTATCATGCTTGGGAGAAAGAAGAGAAGGAGAGGAGAAAGAGAAAGTGGTGGTGGCAGAAGATGAGGAGGAATATGGCAAGAATTAGATTGAGCCAAGAAAAGAAGGAGAGGAAGAATTTGAATAAGAGGAGATAAAAAGCAAATTAAGAAAGAGAAAGACACTGAAAAATAGGAAAAATCTTACTATTTCATTGAATTAGTTAAATAAAAAAGCACCTTTCTTTAACCTCAAATAAAGCTATAAGGATAGCAAATACCAAGTAGCTAAGCTATTTTTAAAACATTATAAACAAATTTAAAAAACATATGAACAAAAAGTTATTTGAAAAAAAACATCTTTTATCATGTAACAATTTTATTCCAAGTGCCTACCTGCGCATCAGCACGAATGGCAGCCATCTCTTCATGATACAAAGGAGCGCCAAAATCAAGCAAGGTAGGTATGCTTGGCCCCAAAGATTTCAAATACTTAAGAGTCTCCTGGGGTGTGCCCTCTTCCAGGCTTCTATTCACTTCTGCCAGCCCTTGCAACACTAAAAAGAGAGACTGGATGTAAACACTGCACCAATAGACAGCTTTTTGACAAGCATAAACATACCTCAACCCTTTATTGCCCAGTTTAGACTCCCTTTCACTGGGACAAAATAAATGAGAGCAGCCAAGCTCAATTGGCTGTAAGTTTTCTTTCCTACTTTTCTTAACGGTGTAAGATCATGACGAATATGCCATGGACATTACAAAGATACTTGTGAATTTGTGGGGTGGGCAAATGGTGAATCAGTTCCATGAAAGCAAAATTGCATATGCTATGGTAACTGCAAGGGACCTTTATCTGGTAAATACAAGTCTCAAGACTTTTACCTATGTGGGAAAAAAAAAAAAAAAAAAGCATTAAAATATCACACAAGCACATCTATACTCACATTTTAGTTTTGATAGAGATTCTTCATTCACTGACGCGATGATGGCCTGTACGGAAGATTTGCTCAGAATTGTGGGCAAGAGTGACACATTGAGGCTATGGTTAAAGCTTTGGTTCCCTCCCTGGGTCTCCTTCTCCTCTAGTTCCTTTGCCAGTGCTTTCAGGTATTCTCCTGCAAAGTCTGGTTTGACTCCCTGTCCGTGAAAAGAAAGCCATTGTATTTTGCTCATTACCAGATTTTGATTTTGATTCTGATAGCCTGTTTTGCTTATTGAAGTCCAAAAGCATAAGGAAAGTTTGTCAATTTAGGTAATAACAATACTAACATGTGGTATCAATGGAGAAAAAAAAAGAAACTAGAGCCATGGAAATGCTAATAGAAACAGACAAAATAGAATAAACAGACATTATTCTAATGAGAACTTCTGAAAAACAAAAGGATCATGTCACAACAACCATTCTATAGACATGTTGCCGGACTAACTACAAGTCCAGAATTAATACTGAGGGACTCACCTTCAGCCCTAATACAGGGGATGTGAGAGCTTTAAACAAGGCATTTGTGTTCTCCTTGACTGCATCTTCACTCTTTCTACGGCACAGAAAGCTGTAATGTTTAATATGATGGTTAACGAAATGAAATCCCAGAATTTAAGTCATATTCTAATAATTTTGTTGTCTGTTTATAGGTATGATATATCTCTTCATATAAATAAATATACTGAATATATACATATATATATTCTAACAGTACATGACCTAAATTCTTGAAAGAAATACTTGCCATTAACATAGCTGATATGGCCTTGGATTTCAGCTTGGGTTAGCAATTCATCGTAGGCATCCGGTATGTAGTCTTGGTCACGACTCTGGAAAATGTAATTTATATTATGAAGCTGGAAACGCAATCGTTTTTCGAGTCAAACAAGGGTATTATCATGGATGATAAATAAAAACACGGTGTAGAAGGCAGAGGAAGAACCAGAAGAGAGAAAAAGATATGAAGTCATACCTTGTTTATCGCCATCTCTTTTTTGTGCATCTTGGCATCAGAAAGACACTGGAGATAACTATCTGCATTTTCGTCCAAGACCTTTTCCAAGTGACAGGTGGGGTTCCTTAAGGTACCTAACAGCTCTGAGTCCTCCTGTCAGGAAAGAGTTTGGTTTAATATTATAGAATCTTTAAAAATATGATAACAACAATTACATCAACAATAACAATAAAAATTATATATTTTTTTCCAGAATCAATTAAAATCAATGAAAAACATGATAGTCAACCCTTCAATAACAGTATTAGTGTAAAATATTTTATCAAGCCTTTGCAAAGAAACCTATATGGTAAAATATCTCGACGATCAACAAAAAAAATAAATTCCTGCACGCATTTTCAAAATCTAAGAAAAGCAACAGATCATACCCCTTTTTCAATGGCTTCATTAATAGCAATGATTGCAGCATGCAACGCAGCTTCATCCACAGGTAACTCGTTTGCAAGGATACCTCCAATCTTGCCAAACTGAGGCAACTGACAGCCATACTTGCTAAGTTCTTTCATCATTGCCTGCATTACTTCCTCTGCAAAAGCAATCCATTAATTACTTCACATCTTTAGGTCAATATAGAATAGGATTACAAATGAAAAAGTATCATTTACAAATATGCTATCATTAGGTAGTTGCATTGTTTACAGAATATAATATACCTTTTTATAACTAGAATCCAGACATAAATTACCATAACTTACCTGAGAAATTGACTTTGCCATATAAGTTCTGGATCTGGGGAGCAATGCCTAAACGGAAAAGGTACAAACTGAGGGCATGAAGGCAGAAAACAACACGGGGCATGTTCTTTCGGTCATACACATCAGTCGTCTCGGGGTAGAAGATCTGTAACATCAGACAGAAACGCAATGAAATGTAATCATCTGACACCAAGTTTATTACACTTTTGATATATCTTTCAAATTACATATTCTCTATCTGATGTACAAAAATACATACACTGGGTAGCTTTATTTCTCCAGAGCTTTGAGAAAGTAGTTAATATTATCTGTATGCCTGAAGGTCAACCCATGTGACCGGTATCTTGCAAGATCTGGGTCATAGATCCTCCGGAGTGGCACGGTCTCTGGTGCAAAGAAGTGGGCCAACTTAGCCAGGTAGACTCCATGGCGCAACTCCTCTTCCAAGTCTCCAGCCTCTGGAAGTTCCTCGTTGATGCAGGCTTCCATCCAACTGTCCACAAAAAGTAATGGTAAGCTGACTGAAATTATGACCCCCTCGTCTCTTGCCCTTACGAATAGGCTTATAACATCAACTTTAATTGGCTAAGAAAATTCTAGATAATGTAACCTGAATGGTTGGTTATGTGATATGACCAATCATTCTGTATATGCTGTGTATTATACATTTCCTGCACTAAATCAAGGATCTCAAGACAATCTTTTTTATATCATGCAAACAAAAGCCGAGACATTAAGCCACTTACTTCTTGGCCTCTTCTAAGTGACACAAGTACTGGTATGAAATGTTCTTGTGGCGCTCTGCATCCATGTCTTGGGCAGAGAGGCAGCCATCCTCCCCACCTGCAAGGAATGGAAGGACTGAATGATTTAGGGGAGAGGGAGACAGAGAGGGAGACGGAGAGGGAGAGGGAGAGGAAGAGGGAAAGGAATGGCAGGGAAAGGGGTGGGAGATAAAATGGGAGAGAAGGTAAAGAAAGATGAAGTGTGTGCAAGGGTAAAAGATAGAGGGAGGGGAGAGGGAAAACGGGATAGAGGAAGAGGGAGAGGGAGTGATAAGGGAAATAGGAGTGGAGTGGGAGTGGGAGTGGGAGTGGGAGTGGGAGTGGGAGTAGGCATGGGAACAGGAGTAAATGGGAGTAGGAGTGGGAGTAGGCGTGGGAGTGGGAGTAGGTGTGGGAGTAGGCGTGGGAGTGAGAGTAGGAGTGGGGTAGGTGTGGGAGTAGGCGTGGGAGTGAGAGTAGGAGTGGGAGTGGCAGTGGGAAGGAGAGGGTAAGGGAAAGAGAGATGAGGGAAATGAGAGTGGGAGGAGGAAGAAGAGAGAGTCCACAAGAATAGGGATAAGGATAGGGAAAGCAAGGGAGAATTCAGAAAGTGAAGTGACAAATAAACTCATACTCTCAACTAGAAACTACATCACCTGTCACTAAAATACTTATTATCCATACTTTCCTAAGGTCATCTATGTCATTATTTTCACCATTACGATTATCATTATTATCCCTTTCACTCATTATTTTCATCATTATCATTAACAATCTTCTTATAGCCACTGTTACTGATATCAAACATGATATGAATACCATCAACTTTAAATGTGATAAGAACCAAGTCTTTTTGCATACTAGATAACATTTTATTTCAATCACAACTTTAAAAAATCATTCATCAATTAGTTAACGTTAATGAAGCACGTCATAGAAGTATAATAAATATTATAATACCGGTAAAGACAAAAACAGCTGATTCTGGGGCAAGTTCAAAACATTGATAAATTACGATATGTTTACTTTAAACACACATAATGTCATGTTTCCTTACAAACTAATATTCTGCTATTACTAATATGTGCATTGACATGAGAATTAATTTATTTTTAGTTGTTCTGAAATATTAAAAGAATGTTACTTCTTCCTGCTACGTGTTGATCAGCTGATCAGGGTCTGAAACAAAAGTTCTGTTTAATATGATCTCCTCGAGTATTATCCTCCTAAAATATCCTAATCTACTTAACCATAAACTTACCTCTCTTCTGGAAGGCCATGCCGCCTGCGTATATCCCCAAATACCGCCAAAATCCGACACAAACTCAAGCAAAACTTTCAAACACAGACGTTCCCCTAAACCGCCATGTCTTCATAAGAGGCGCTCTCGACGCTGATTGGTCGAGGGCGTTTGGCACCCATTGGTCGGGCGAAACTCGGAAGCTGATTGGTCCGTTTAGAGTGAAAGTTCTTTTTGCTTTTAAATCACTTTAATTCCCTCTGAACTGATTTTTTATTGCCGCAACGGGATTTTTTAAGTATAGGAAGTGTTTAGATAAAACTCTTCCGTTGGTTAGTATTCCGTAGTTAGACATTAGACTCATGATACAAACGGGAAGCAATTTGCGAATGAAATGTCCTTGGGCTCAATATACTTTTTCATGCATCATAAGTGTAGCTATGTCCTTTGCACTGTCCTGATATACATAATAATAGTGCAGATCCTGAATGGTATAACGTTCAGCATTCCGGTTAATGATGACAAAACCGGATTCAGTCACAAATCTTCATCAAGAACATGTTTCTTAAAAAAATAAATACAGATCTAAACTGAAGATACATAGGCCTATATAAACCCATGCTCTTCAAATCCATCATGACAGCCTGGCATGGTAATTAAGATACACCCATGAAATCTAATTAATTCAAGTATAGCCATTCCTACACGTAACTACTACAACAAAGTAAAGGAAATAGTTCAGTAACGGTCTTGGCGCGTCACTTTGATAATAGGCTTTGCGCTTATTTTTTTCTCTTTTCTTTTTTTCTTGCAGTGTTATCGCTATGATAATCAGTGGTGATATGGTGATAGTGGTATTGTAATTTTATCAATAATGATGTCAGTGATAGTAATGGTAATGATAACATTATGAACATTAAGAATGATAATCTTATGGATATTAAGAATGATGTCAATAATGATGATAACATTATGATGATGATCAGAACTTTGATGATAATCGTAATGGTACCAGTGATATTAATGATGATATCAGTAATGATAATAATGATAACATCAATCATTATTTTTGAATTGGTGATATTAATGATATTGATGATGATAGTGATGGTGATGATAATTACACCAATAATGACTGTAGCGAATTGAATATTACTACTACCATAGCATTTATCCTAACTTTAAATTTACTATCATCATTACAGTTGTTATTACAATTATTATTATGTTAATTCTATTGCCGCTATAATTGTTACTGTTACTATTACTCTTATATTCAGCATTATCATAGCCATTTTCATCATTACCATTACCACTATGATAATTATTAATTGCCGTTTTTCATATCTATCAAAAACACTACTGTCATCAACAGTATTATCATTATTATAAATTGCATCCTTACTGTGCTTATTATAAAAAAAAACATTATTGATATCATTATTATCATTGTTATCATTACATTTTCGTGTGCTTATTTATGATGTGCCAATGTTAAAGCTCTCTCTCTCTCACTCACTCACTCTATCTTCTCTATCTCCCTCTCTCTCATATATATCTCTATCTCCTCTCTCTCTCTCTCTCCCCCCCTCTCTATCTATCTATCTATCTCTATCTCTATCTATCTCTATATCCATCTACCTATCTATCTCCCTCTCCCTCTCCCTCTCCCTCTCCCTCTCCCTCTCCTCTCCCTCTCCCTCTCCCTCTCCCCTCTCCCTCTCCCTCTCTCTCTCTCTCTCTCTCTCGTCTCTCTCTCTCTCTCTCTCTCTCTCTCTCTCTCTCTCTCTCTCTCTCTCTCTCTCTCTCTCTCTCTCTCTCTCCCTCTCCCTCTCCCTCTCCCTATCCCTCCTCTCTCTCCTCTCTCTCTAACGGATTCACTCTTTGGCGGCGAGGGCGAAAGAAGGGTTTGTTTATCTTAAGTAGGTGAAGGAGAAGGAGTGGGTGCCAGAGGTGTTAGAGGGGATACTTGAGAAAAAAATCTTTGTTATTTAGATGTATGTTTGTTCATTTTCGTCACAGAATATACATGTGACTATATAATTTGGTTTATATGGCGTATATGATCATTTACTGAATCGTTTTGGTGGTATGGTAACTTAATCTCTCTTTTTCTCCTCTCCTCTCTTCTTTTTATTTGTTTCGCCTTCATCCCTCATTTACTTTCTTCTTTCTCTTGAGCAATAAATACTCAATATGTAACCTCGGCCCTCACAAAGACATGCAACGGACATCAAGGAACAACAGTGCAACTATCAACTGCACAGCAGCCCGTTGAGTCCTTAACAATCATTTTCTTGAATCTCGAGTACCTATTAACCGATTCATTTAATCAGTGTATTTATTACTATTCGAATTTCTATTCAAACTCAAAGTCTATCCATATGCTAGACATCTACGTCCTTTGAGGATATTACGTACATTTGAAATAGTTCCACTTGGGCGTAACATGAACCTAAAAGGAAATCAATATTCAGTGACGCCCACCCTGACCTATAACCGAACGCTTCCCCACGTTAAGTAGATCAAGACAAATGTTCTGCTATGTGATTCCGTGGCTTAAATTTCAATAATAAATGGAAACTAATTCAATTCACTGTGACACGTAGGTAATAACCTAATATGCTCGTGGGTTCCGAGTCAGCTTAATCTCACTTGTTGAAAAAATTCTCTCTCGTATACAAAACATAGCTTCAGGCCGAGGCTTGAGGGCGAAATCCCAGGTAAGGAAAGGTCATGCAGCATTATGAAATTGTGGCAAAAAAGGTAAAGCATTGGTTAAGTAGGACAGAATATGCTAGATGTGAAAGGTTGTAGAACGCTGTAGGTTAGTATGGTAGTGAAAAGGGTAAAGAGGGAAGAGCAGAGTACGAAGGCCGTCCATGACTGACACAGAGCCAGCCTTTCATCCTTTGAGCACGACTCTCACGTTGTAAGCTGTGGTCAGAAGGGTATGAAGAAGAGATGGGAAAAGGTGAAGAAAAGGCCATGCAAAATTAGTTGCCGTGAGGGCTGAGGCCCAAGGTAGAGGTGATCCCCTCCCTGCCTTGGGCCTCAGTCTCCGTCTCCTTAGCCCCCCTCCCCCCCCACACACACGATAACAACGGGCATGGGATGAGGAGTCGGGTCAGCCGAAGTCCTGTATATTATCTATTGGTTTGTATCAGTTATGAATAAAAAATAAATCAACGGCATGACATGTTTGGGACATGGTAACTTCCAAGAATGGTTAATGGATACAAAAATACAAACCGTATTTGTGCTAAGCATTAAAGGGCATATAGCAATAAAGAAAGGTACAGTGGAAAGGGTAAAGTGCCTGCATATACACAGGGTGCGCGCTCATACCTCTTTATATGTTTCCCTGTGATAGCATGTTTATCTTATTTCAGGTTTGGGTTCTTACCTAGGCTGGGTTAAAGGTGTATTCTTGGTATTTGGAAGCGTTTCAAGGACTTGTAGGCATCTTAGACGAGGCAGTGGAATAGCATCAATTACAATTTATGAAATATCACAAAGGATTGACGAGCAAGTGCATAGTTGTTAAGTTAACTCGGTTGTATATACAAATCAAGTTGCCTATATGGGCGATTAGAATTTCAAATATAACGGATATTAAGTAAATTGACTACTAGGGTCTTGACAGTGAACTTCGAATTAATTCTCTTCAAATATAAGAATGATCAAGGCCTTATAGTTTAAAAATTCTGAGCCCGTTTGCTTCCACTACAATTTATATTTTGTATATTAACATTCAATATTTCAGGTGATTACGTTCATCAATTTAAAGGGAATAGGGTACATATACAAGCAGGTCTGTTTCCTGTTTTTTTTTATTCGTTTTACAGATTTCTGGAATGGTTTACTGAAAACTTGCAATGTGAAGTCTGCCAATGGCACATGCCACCAACATCATAAATAAAATGCGGAATGATCTACGATGGGTTGATTTGCATGGACAATTCACAATGAGACTAGTAGACGGAGGAATTGTTTAATCGACCTCCTCGATGGTGGGTCCGGAGGAACCACCAGCACCGGGAGCGGCACCGCCGGCACCTGGGGCACCACCTGGGAAGCCGCCGGGCATGCCACCTGGAGGAGCACCACCAGCAGCAGCATACATCTTGGTAATGATGGGGTTGCACACCTGCTCGATCTCCTTCTGCTTGTGCTCATACTCTTCCTTCTCGCCCAGCTGGTTCATGTCCAGCCACTTGATAGTCTCGTTGCAGGTCTCCAAAATCTTGTTGCGGTCCTCTTCAGAAATCTTCTCCTTGAACTTCTCGTCCTCAACTGTTGACTTCATGTTGAAGCAGTAAGACTCCAGGGAGTTCTTGGCAGAAATACGGTCCCTCTGCTTCTCATCGTCAGCCTTGTACTTCTCGGCGTCCTGCACCATGCGCTCGATCTCCTCCTTGGAGAGGCGACCCTTGTCGTTGGTGATGGTAATCTTGTTCTCCTTGCCGGTAGACTTGTCCACGGCGGATACGTTCAGGATGCCGTTGGCGTCAATGTCGAAGGTGACCTCGATCTGAGGCACGCCACGAGGAGCAGGTGGGATGCCACTCAGCTCGAACTTACCCAGGAGGTTGTTGTCCTTGGTCATGGCACGCTCTCCCTCGTACACCTGGATGAGCACACCTGGCTGGTTGTCAGAGTAGGTGGTGAAGGTCTGAGTCTGCTTGGTGGGGATGGTGGTGTTACGCTTGATGAGAGCGGTCATCACACCACCGGCAGTCTCGATACCCAGGGACAAGGGGGTCACGTCCAACAGCAACAGGTCCTGCACAGCCTCGGACTTGTCACCACACAAGATGGCGGCCTGGACGGCGGCACCGTAGGCCACAGCCTCATCGGGGTTGATGGACTTGTTCAGCTCCTTGCCGTTGAAGAAGTCCTGGAGGAGCTTCTGGATCTTGGGGATACGGGTGGATCCCCGACAAGGACGATGTCGTGGATCTGGGCCTTGTCCATCTTGGCATCACGGAGGGACTTCTCCACGGGCTCCAAGGTGCCACGGAACAGATCGGCGCACAGCTCCTCGAAGCGAGCACGGGTGATGGAGGTGTAGAAATCGATACCTTCGAAGAGGGAGTCGATCTCCACGCTGGCCTGTGTCGAGGAAGACAGGGTACGCTTCGCACGCTC